TCACAATTAATAAAATCTAAAATCCACTATTTTGACATGTAAATCCAGCGCGAGATTAAGATTACTCTTATCAGATTTTTGTAAAATCACCGAATCTTGACAGACCGTAAATACTAAGCAAAAGACGACTGACTTTTCCCATCTTATCCCTCTGAAACGTCCCGGGACAGTTCGAGGTATCGATAACGAAGAAGTCTCTTATGAGAGACATTCCACGGTGTCTTGGCCCAGGACCTTTACCCGTTGTTTACAAATAATTGTCATCGCAGTCGATAAAATGCGTCCGCATACATTTACATTAAGACGAATCCCTCGAAGTCTGACTCATTCAGTGCAGTCGCTGCGACTCCAATCGATCTGTCAGTCGAGCGAGGTTGCTCGCTTTGAAAGGGTTGCTCCGTTTACTACGTTTCATTCCGTACTGTTACCAGTTTCTATAAATGATATTCTTTATTGTGCGCTGAAAGAATGTAATCGTAATTTGTAAACGCAACCCAGTGTGAATAGCGTTGAAACCTGTTTAAAGAGAATTCCGCAACATTTGTTGTTTACCGAAATAATGTGACCGCGGATGAAACTCGAAAGATTAAAATCTGTTTAAGTGAAAAAAAATGAAAAGATTTGTAGCTGGGGAACTTGTTTTTTAAATGGAACTCGTTTTTGGAATTGTTGATGGTTTGGGTAATCTTATGTTGCTGTCGAGACCTGTTGCTTTTGAAAGGAGTTTCTGATTTTTATAGCATGTGACATAGAAAGTGATTTTATAACTGAAATTTGTTGATTTTTCGTTTTTTCTTGAAAAATTCGTGAATCTTGTTTTGTGATCTGAAATTGTGTAATGACAAAACGAAATTGAATTATATTTAAGTGAAAAAAGTGAAAAGCAAGAATTGTGTAGGAAAGATGTTCTTTTTTGAGTTTTTCTAAGAATGTTATCAAAGAATATTGTTTATGAAATTAGCGATTTGTTTTTGATTTCATTTGAAAGTTTTTGATTATTTGTTTACAAAATTACCAAATTGTTTTTCATTTGGCTTCACAATTATTTTTAAATAATTTTCAATTTTTGACAACTGTTCCTAAATTGTTTTTGTTTCTTGACAATTATATTTAAATTATTTTTGATTTTCTTACAAAATTAGCAACTTGTTTTTAATCTTGTATTGACAGAAAGCAAACTTCCTGTCATTAAAACATTTTTAGCATATGCAGTCACAATGTGATAAAGAAATTCGAATGAAATTTAATTACAAATATAATAAAAAATAAGTAGTTTCCTTGTACTTGTTCCAGAAAAAAGAATTGTTCTCATGGTTTGTGATAAATTTCTTATTTTTCAAATTAACATAATATAAATGTCAAATTATTTCAAAATATGAATTTCTAAAGTAAAAGCAAATTAATATAATATTAAATGAAACATTTATCAAAATAATATAAGATTCACATGCACTAAAAATTTTATTTTTTGTAAATAAATACCAAATTGGTGCTTTAAAACTGTTCAATAAATAAATTTTAATTACCAAACCATCACAATCTTGAAACATTTAATAGAAATAGAAGAAATATTTGAAGTGAATATTTAAAAAGTTTGTAAATTCATACCTTTAATGAACAAATTACTGGTTAATAACAATAGTGTGACGTGCATTATCAAAATGACGATTGCGTATAATGACGGTAAGATACATATTTCAAGATAGTAGTTTAATGAATATATTCTAATACTATTTCTAATTCTAAGAGTATTTTTAGACTATTATATCACGTAATAAATATCTTATCACTAGTAGGATGTAATATTATGAGAAGAATAGAACAGTTTTTTTCTACTGTGGGGTTAATGAAAGTTTTAAGCTTGAAGTGTTTAACATTTTGGTATTTAGTAATCTAAGAATTTGAGAACCTAACAATTTGGAAGAAGAGCTTGGAAATTTGTGCTTTCAGAAATGAGATTTAGAAATTGAGAAATGTGAAGATTTGAGAATTTAAGAATTTAAATTTGAGTATTTAAGTATTTGAGTGTTTGTGTATTGGAGTATTTGAGTATTTGAGTATTTGAGTATTTGAATATTTGAGTATTTGGGTATTTGAATATTTGAGTATTTGGGTATTTGAATATTTGAGTATTTGAATATTTGAGTATTTGAGTATTTGAGTATTTGAGTATTTGAGTATTTGAGTATTTGAGTATTTGAGTATTTGAGTATTTGAGTATTTGAAAAATACTTCAGTATTTAAGAGTTTAAAGATTTGAAAATTTGAGAATTTGAAGATGTGAATATTTGAAGATTTGAAGATTGGAAGATTGGAAGATTTAAGGATTTTGGAATTTTGGAATTTTGAAATTTTTAATGTAGGAATACTTAGATTTTGAATATTTAAAGATGTGAAGATTTAACCATTTGAACATTTAAGAATTTTACAATTTTGAAACTCCATAATTTGAAAATTTGAGAATTTTGGAATTTGGCAGTCTAAAAATTTGAGAATTTGAAAGTCAAAAAATTTAGAAATTTAGAAATGTAAGAATATCAAATTTTCAAGTTTCCAAATTATTAATTTTCGTAATTTCAAATTTGCAAGCTTACATAATTTCAGATTATATGGACCAAACTGATACACCCTGTAAATTACGCTGAACAACAAAGCAGTCCATTGTCATTTCACATTTTTATCACAACTTTTGTTGTTTTATTTTTACGAATAGAATATTTTAATAAAGTTTGACAATGAAAGACTGGTCAATCTGTATCTACGGTTTAAAGTTCCTGGGTATAAACCGGATGTTATCCCTGCAAGCACATTCCTACTGGTTTACATCCTGAAATCTCAAACCATAAGCACAAATGCGAGTATTGTAACAAACCGAATTATGTAACCGCAAAATTAACGTTTCCAATTCAATTATTTAAAAGTAGTTTTTAATATTTTAATTAAAGTATTATTAGTACAGGAATATATTTCCTATTACATGTATCAGAAACATGAGGTACTTTTCTTGTTCTAGAACAATAATTTCCTAACAGCAGAATAATTTTGTGTAATACGTTAAAAATAATAAATATAAACAATATTTTATTGATCTTTGCATCTTACTCAATTCTCAAAACTATGAAAATAGAAACATTATAATATAAATATAGTCTAAAAATGAATATAAATATAATATAAGTATTATAACATACATATAATGCATATAAATATTATAATATGAATAATAATATAACTATTAATTTATAAAAATACAGTAGGTAAATATTTACTGACTATATTACATTGCTCCGCTGCATATAATTTTAAATATAAACAATAATTAAAACAATGAGTAATAAATTAGTCAAATTGATCGACAACACTGATATGTATGTATTACTGACCCATCAACTACCAAGTTTTTATTTTAATTTTACCGAATAGTTTGCAATTACATCAAATACCTTTATAAGTTTGGTAATATTGAAATAAAAATAATTTTAAAAACTAAAATGTATATGTTTGCCAAATACATGTTTTATTTAATATAATTGTACTGCAAATGATAAAAGGAAATATTTATTCAATCACCATTTGAGGACTACGGTAGCAATGGTTAAAATAATTTTCATTGTACGAACTAACTATATCGTTTACTGCCAAACGTTCTTAATAAAAGATAGTCAATAAGTTATCAAAAATAAGGTAGTATCGATGTTAAACATAGCCAAACCCTTGTATAGCTTAGATACCACATTCTGGTATTTGCAGAACTCTATCAGGATTGTCGATAAAAATGCGCAAAAATAAAGTCATTAATTCCTATCATTCGATATGAAATATTGATTTGAAGAAATGGTGTACAAGGTGTTCTAGAATTGGTGGTACAACAGAAAAGAGGGTAAAATTACAAGAAAAAATGAAATAAAAATATAGAATACAATGAATTGAACTGAATTGAAGTGCAATTCAGTTCAATGAACTGAATTTGTATTGAACGAATATTATTAAATAATTAAATAATTAAATCTAATCATTAGTACTACTAAAGTTTGATACCAGTCATTCTTTATAAGATTATTAATATATGTAGATACTAATATTTAATGCTGAATTTAATGATAATTTACTACATGATAAGAACACACATTTGTAACAAACCTAATAAACTAATATAAAGCAATAAACCTATTTTAGTGAAATTAATAATATCTGTTGATTTATGATATTCATTTACTGTAGAATTAAGCAACAATTTGTTGATTTTATCTACACTGCGATTGTATCTACATCATTTTCTACACTGTGAACAAACTTTTTTACAAGTTTTATATTTTATATTATACAAGTTTTTTTTACAAAAAAAAATAAGTAAATAAGCAAATTTTCAAACAATTTTTTTAAAACAATTGTGTATTTTCTTTACGCCAGTCAATTTATCTCATTATTCTGTGCATAAAAGTATTAGGGTAAGATTATTGAAAAATGAATATTTTGTAAGATATTTTGTAATTTGTCAAAATTATTGGAAATTTCAAACCTTAATAACTCAAAAAGTTTTTAATCAAAAAATACTTTATCATAGTGTTTTAGAAAGCTCTCGAGGTAAGCTACAAGAATATGCAAAAATATATAGGGTGTTCCATTTAAAAAAATTGAAGTGACCTTCACGTGACCTTCCAGTGACTCTTCAACGTCAAAATGATATTCCCCGTAAATAGAACTTTTTAAACCCTACAACTTTTGTCTGAAACATTTTTTGATAAAACTTATATTTTTCGAAATATTCAAGGGTTTCGACCTTTTTTATACACCCTGTATAATAAAAATAGCCTGCATACGCACTTGCCCCGTTTACGAACCCCACTTCACCTTACTTAAAAAAGTGCAAATTCAATTTTCTTGAAAATAAAGTCATTTAAAAAAATTTTTACTTATTTCTCCATGTGCCACCATCTTGAAAAGAGTAAATAAACCTGTTTAGATGGTAAATGTAATAATTTTTGTTTGTTTTGTTACAGGTAACAGCTCACGATGCACCCGCACCGAGTCTGAAAAACTGCGGCAAAGGACTCGACAAAGTGTGCGGCATCGAGTATATTCAAAAACAATAATCCTTCCCATGTTCCTGCGGCATCGTTCGAAGGAAACAGAAATATTTCAAAAGTCATTACAAGACATGTCTCAAGTTCCTCTGATTACAAATGGAGAAACCGCCACAACAGAGTCCTCAGCCTCCAACATGGTGATTCTTGAGGTATGAAAAATAGAAACTTGCTGTTTTCTTGATTTGTTTTACTTTATACAAGGTGTTCTTTTTGTTATAATTATTGGGACACAATAGTCAACGTTGTTATACTAGAGGTGTAAATGTCGATAAAGTTTTATAAGTAAATGTCGACAATATCGAAAAGTTATTCATATTTTAATATATTGATAATATTGTTAAAATATCGGTAAGGTAAGTAGAGACAGTGATAACTCAAATATGTAGCAGTAAATTTTCAGACCTTTCAATTTCTAAATTCTGAAATTTCACGAAGTTTCTAATCCTTATATTCTAAAATTATTAAATTACTGTTTTCAAATCGTTTAGGAAATTTCCAAATTTCCTAAACTCCCAATTTTTAAATTGTCAGATTTAAGACTTTATAAACTTTCAAAGATCCGAATTTGTATATCCAAATCTCTAAGCACTCGAATCCTCAAATTTTTAGAAACCACATTCCTAAATATCAAAATTCTAAATAGTTATGTTTCCGGATTTCTAAGTTTCATTGTATGCTCCAATGATATGCTCCAATGTTTTGGTCACAAACAAACGAAATGTAAAATTTTTGTTCTTAATTTTTACATTATTTTATCTATTATTAGATTAGGAATTAGTTTATAATTATCCATAGAAATACGTTTATCAATATTAACAAATTATGTAATTACATATTGATTAATGCTTATTAACTCTTGCATTCGAAGGCATTTTTACTGTTACAAGACAACTACTTAAAAACTTCCTAATTGAAGAATTTAATGAATTCTTTTGAAGTTTACCTATTAAACTACTTTATCTACTGCCATTATAGTCAGTTTCATTGTGTTTATGTATCGCATATATGATACTATAAAGTTAGTTAAAAAGTACCTGAAAAAGTCTTAAATTGTCATGTTAAAGCAGCTGGCGAGTGTGAGTCACCTTTTGAATGCAAAGGATTAACTGATGCGGCGCAGATTCGTTTATTCGCATTTACTGTCAATATCAGTGCATCACTTTTATAGCCAACACTTCTGTAGTTAAACTATACGCTGTACTTTTGTTGGTACATATCTTTCATTAATAATTTAAACATTAAGTCTTAACGAACGTTCTGATAAAAGAGAAACTTGTTCATTATTAGGACCAATATCATCCCAGACACCATCCCCTGTAATTATGCGTATTAGTACCCGAACACCCTATACAATGTAGCAGTATATTGTATATGTATATTGTAGCAGTGTTACGATAAAGAAAACAATAACACAATTAAATTTAATATAAATATAACATGCTTGGAAATAATCTTCTTCGATACAATATGATGTTTATGAACATACGAGGTCTGTCCCAAAAGTATCCGACTTTTCTTTATATTTCCCTGCTGGTGTTATTCTGCGTCATCAGGCTGGTAGCATCCTTCGAAGTAGTCCCCATTTGATTGTAGAATACTCTGCCAATGACCTTTCCACTTATGAAAACAGTCCTGGAACTCGTTTTTCAGAATAGCCTTTTAGAGCGTTCGTCGTATTACTTCCGACCGTTTCTTTATCGTCGAATCGGTGTCCTTTGAGTGGCATTTTCAATCTTGGAAACAACCAAAAATCGCAGGAAGCTACATCAGGACTGTACGGAGACTGACGGAGCTGTATGACTTTGTGCTTCGTCAAATATTGGTGCACAAGATTCGATGCATGCGTTGGCGCGTTATCGTGATGAAGAAGCCAATTACCGCTTGACCAAAACTGAGGCCAAAACTAGTTTTCTGTATTCTAAGATCACATTCTAGTTCTCGCACAGTCAATTGACGAGTTTCGTTGATCGCAAATCGCACACGTTCGATATTATTAGGTCTTGTTGTCGTGGAAGACCGCCCAGAGCGTGGGTTACTATCAACAGAGCCTTACTATCAACAGATGTGCAGCCATCTTTGAACCGCTTATACCACTCTTTGATTTGCGTGTTGCTCATACACTCGTCCCCAAATGCCTTCTTCATCATATCGATGGTTTCCGCACAACTCTTTTCGAGTTTTAAGGAAAATTTGATGCAAATTCGTTGCTTCGATCCTTCCCTCATTTTTCACAACAGCAGAATCCGACGAACGTAAAAAACACTTTGTAAACAAATGCACGTTGCACGTAAACTAAGGCGTCCCGACGAAAACTACGATATCGTGGGAGTTTGTAAAGCTTTGCAGTTGATACTCATACACGGCAAATGACGCTAAAATTGTCAGCAGTGAAGAAATTAAAGAATACTTTTGGGACAGACCTCGTATGTGTATGAACTTTTCATGTAAAATGTTTATGATTCGTTTTCCTATCAATCATATCTTTAAAGCTACGACGACATGTACTACATTCATATTTTGCTACATTCACACTATCATTCAGTTTCCTATATTTACTCTTACAGCAGTCTGTACGTGTACAGTCATTGTGGCAGATGCACGAATTCGCTCTCGAATATCTCCGACTGCCGTCGCGTCGGTGGTATGCGATAAACTTCATTTTTTAGTGTTCCCCAAAGAAAAGAAAATAATCAAGCTATGTTAAATCTGGCGAGCTGGCCAAGTTGTGCACTACCCAGTCCGATTAAGCAATTGGGAAACATTCTGTTTAATACTTTCCATGCTCATTAAACATTATGCGCAAGAAAGTTGGTGTTACACTCTCAATGCTTATCCTACTGATATGTATTTATAATGCACACTTATTTTGAAATTAAAAATGGAGTTCTAAAGTGAATAATAAATAAATAAACCATAAATTGATGTACAAGTTAATTTCTTATTTTCAAATTAAAATTATTGTGAAATTCAGAAATTTGAAAACTCAAAAGCTGAAACATTTAGAAGTTCAGAATTATGAAAATTTTAGGACTGAAAAATTGTCACGTTTATATACGTTTCTTTATTCACAGGAAACCTACGGTTGAATCTGGCGTATCTCAATAGCAATATTAACAGCATTTAAAATTTGTCAAAAGCTGTATTCAAGAACTGTGATATTAACTGTCATAAATAAAGCAGCATAACAGTCACGTTGACTGAATCTAATTTTTTAAAACAAGATTATTGATTCATATATGCAGAACCATTAATTTTAAACTCTATCTCCTCCAGTACTTCATTACGCAAAATTTCATACAGCATCCAAATTCAAGAAAAAATATTAGGTATTACATTGAAAACCCCGAAGGTGGCCATACATCGATAAAAAAGCAATTACAGTACTGTATATTGCAACTACAGTATCTGTGGAAACTACACAATTTTTATATTTGAAACATTCTTTTAAAACATCTGTAATATGCGTTACAGAATCTTCAATGTTTAAAAATATTTTCAAGACCTTTATACATCATTAAATTGAAAAAATGGAGCAAAATCTGCAATTTTTATTTCTCTATTTTACAAAATCCTTAGTTAAAGAGGTTGAAACTTGGTGTGAAATTTTCTTTTGATATCAAGCGACGTTTTGCAAATTTCATTTGACTTACAGACACCTGATTTAAGCTTGTTTGGCTGTACCCTTTTACTAACTCTGAATGAATACAGGCCGGTCTACCTGGAGACACATGGAGATACTGCGTCGAAAGGGAGCGACTTGCTGAAAAGTCGGAGCTGTTTCGTGCGATGCTCATCGGACCTCTTGCGCCTGCACCAAGCGACCCTCCACCTCTCCTTCAGCTGAAGTATGTGGAAAAACGTGCTTTCGATTATCTACTCAGGTAATTCGCTAACAACCAACTGATTGATTAATCGTGTCACGTAAACGTGTCTTTGTCGAAACTCAAATTAAGAGTAATTGCTGTATTTCATAATATCTGCACCAATGTAGGATTTATCATAAGTAGACTGCACAAGTTATATTATGTTTTTGCTACTATTATATATTACTTATGTTGTTGTTTATTAGTTACTACAATACTTGCGATTCCCTAAAATTTTACAAATCTGCAATATTACATGAGTTTTCTTTAACTTTTTTAATAATGATGTATCGATTACTTCTTTATTATCATTTTTACAAAACCATTCCTCTTTCGAAAATTTAAAAAAACATGAAATAGAACGTTAAAACTGAATCAGATTCGATCAATGATATGAAACTGCCGACCAAACCGAAAAAAAATATTTAAAATTCTTTTACTCTCTGAAAACCCTTACAGAAATAGTAAAGGGGGAGACGAAGGTCGTCTATAGAAATCAAAATAAACGTCGCAAACCCTCAGAACATAAAAGCAGGGTTTCAAGAACTACTTTGGAGATGAATGAAGTAACATAGTATACGAGATTCCGAAGCCTAAAAAAAAAGAATACAAACATGGCACAGAACACATTACACTTACATTATCAAACGAAATTTGTAGTTCTTAGACAAATGTAAAAGAACATCTTCGGAAAAACAAACCTTAAAAACAACTAGATGTCATTATGACAACCGTGTCTTTATATTCGCTAATAGTAGTTGGAATCATCGCATATTTTTGGATTATTCTTTTAATCACCTTGCCATTGGTAGTTTCCTGCAAGCGGAAATTGAACGAGCCTCGATGCTACCGAAGGAGGTGTTGCAAATGTAAATCATGGATGCCTTGAAACTTGAAGAATTAGAAACGATTAATGTAAATTTCAAGCAGATTACGAAAAATTGTAACGTTAAGTCTCAATAAGTATTCGAGTTAAAAAATAAAGGCGTTACAAAAATTGGGATACGTAATTATTTTGTGATAAAGACATTTTCAAAGGTTAAAAATTCGAGTTGGATGTTAAGCAATTGTCTCGACTTGTATGAAACGGAAGACGCCATTTTCTGTGCAGACATCTTCTCGACGAGCCCATCAACTTTCAATCGGTGTCCACGGCTAGAGCGACCCTTGACACAGCTCATCAGTACCTTTATCCGGATTTGGCACGCCTTGCCGTCGAGTATCTCGAAAATAACCTAAATTCGAATACCGTGCTGGAAATTTATCAGGGTATCAGTCTTTATGCGAATAATGTAATTTCTGGGCTCAACAAAACGTCGTTCGATTCACCAACGGCTCCTCCAACCCCTGGAGACGACGCTGGGGAAATAGGTTTGTTCCTAATTTCTTATTTTTGGAGTATAGTTATTCTAACCCTTTGCACTTGAAAGGTAACTTGCAGTACTCGGTTTAATAGAAGAAATTGAAATAGGTATTTTTAAACTAAATTTAGTGTTATACGTGTGATAGTAACATAGTGAAAATAATAGAAAAATTATAATTTTAAAAGAATTTATGAAACTTTATAGAGTTTGAATGAAGCTTGATGAGAAGTGTAGAGTTTCTGTTTTTAAACAGCGAAAATGTCTTCGAGTGCAAAAGGTTAGATATTATTAAAGTAAAATTTATATGAACGCGATTTAAGGAGTTAGTCACATTAACAAGAATTATTTGCACAAATTTTGTTCTCGGATTTTTGTATTTTTATTATTTTTGCTGTGCTACACATAATTCTTGCGATCAAATAGTTATTTCGTATAGATTTGTCGTGAAAGTTTTATTATAATTGAAATTCAAGTTACAAGTGTTTGTGAAAATTTTGTATAATAAAATAATCAAATGTTTAAATATATTTTTTATTACGGTAGAATTTTCTGAAATTTTTCAATTTTTTCTTTTCAATGTTCAATCACAAAATTTTCTTTGCATATTTTCAAATTTTTAAATTCCATAAATTCAAAAATTTTTTAATTAAAAATTTTGTTAATTTTCACAATTTCAACTAAGTTAAATTTACAAATTTACAAATCCGCGAAAATTTTCTAGCTACAGAAAAATTATTACTGTTCTGTTACAACCTGTTCAGTAGCATGTTATATCTTCTTAACAAAAAAATATATTAAATTATAAAATAATTATAAAAAGGAGGTAGTGTTTTGTTAAAACAATATTATAAAAATATGTAGTATTTGTGGTTAAAAGAACATTTTAAATCTCTACAAATGAGGAAAATAAATCCGCCAGTATATTAGTGATTCACTTCCTACATCGAGTAATATTTTATCTTCTTATCTACATTTTATCTTTCTCATCTTGTTATCGTATGTATGTTTACATACAGTACGTTAAAATATGGGTTCAAGGTTTCAGAGATTGGTAATAGTCTTAAAATGAAAGAAAAGAGTTTTTTGAATTATATACGTTCTATTTGTAATTTCGGAAATTTATAAATTTTATAATATACTAATTAGAAAATTCAAAATGTTAGGATTGTAGAGATATGAGAATTTGGAAATTTGGGGACCAGATAATTTAGTAATTTGAAGATTTGGAAATTTTGGTATATCAAAATTTAGGATTTTTTAACTTCGAAACACTAAAATTTGAAGTTTTCTGTATTTGGTAATTTGATCATTTGGAAGTTTGAATATTAAAAAATTTGATAGTCTGAATGTTTTATCATGTATGTTATAATTTATATATTTCTGAATTTAGAAATTAAAAAATTCAGAATTCTAGAAATTCTAGAAATTCAGAAATTTAAGAATTTAAAAATGCGGAAATTCAAAAATTCAACAGGTCAGAAGTCTAGAAAATAAGTTTAGAAATTTGACAATATAGAAATTGTTAAATAATAAAAATTTCCAAATTTAAGAATAGAAGATATAAAAATGTTTTCCCAATTTTCAAATATCAAATTCCACGCACAGTAAAGTTTCATATATGGAATACTCTACATGATCCAATTCCCGTTGTCCCCTAAAATTTCCGCTTAAAAATTCAAACGAATAATTTAAAAGCTTTTTTAAATTTTAGCTGCAGTGTGTACGCGACTTCTTCTCGCCTGCCTGGAGGTAATCGACTCAGATCCAGAGGTCGTATTAAATCAGGAACGTTTCGAAGAGTTAACCGCCGCTGAAGTTGAACAATTAGCATGTCGGGACACTTTGAGGTTGGCGAACGAGTCTACGCTTTTCTTCGCATTGGACAGGTGGGCTGCATCCGAATGTAGAAAACAGGGGATGGAACTATTAGCCAGTAATAAAAGAACCACACTGTCCGATGAAGTTTGGTATAGTGTTCGATATCCTCTTATGACCGATAAGGAGTTCATCGAGGGTCCAATGGCAAGCGGTATTCTCTCCAGCGAGGAATCTGCATTTATTCTTGCAAGAATTCTGGGACATTCTGAAAATCAGGAGGAAAAGGTACGTCTACTTATGAAAGTTTCATTGCTTTATTACAATTTGTTACTTCTAATACAATGAAGGTTGCCACTCACTTGACAGTACATCTTTCGAATAGCAACGAATCGATTTCAATATAGTTTTTTAATCGTACAAGAAAAAGGGTTAGAAAAAATCATTCAATACTTACTGCACTAGTATTCTTATTACTATACTACTAATCAATATTTACTATACTCTGCAATATTTACCTGATCAGTAAATAGTACTCTGCAATATTTACTTGATCAGTAGATAGTAAGATTTGGCTTTTTACTTGTCCATTGAAGATCATATTTTTCTTTTAGAATGGTAACACTGACATCTGTCAAAAAACTTCATGTTACTTGCTTTGTTAGGTTCAAAGAGTAGGGATACAAGAGGTGACACTCCAGGCGGCACCTTTGGTGTTTGAAAAATACTGTCCCTTTAAATTGGTCGTGCGTGCGAGCGGGAAATTTAAATCAAGTGAATCTAATTTCATGTCCAACTCTAATAACTAGAAATCTATTTGTCGTAAATTTTCTCTATATTACTAATATTAGCTTTTGAAGTGTTTATATAAATTTTACAACATTGAAAAGTTGAAGAAAGGACACACTAAAATGATAATTCTACACAGTATATTTTAAGCATACTAATGAAATGATTATTACAAATAATTTATAAAGAAATGACAAACTATCACAAGAAAATACAAATGAATGTGTTAGAGAGAAATGACAAAATATTTATTACAAATAAATTACTGGCACTAGTTTATTTGGCTTGGACATTTAAATTGTTTGTGTCCTGTCTCTCTCTAAATAGTAGTTTCATTGTCGAGTGTTACCTCTTGCTGTATCCCTACTCTTTGGTTAGGTTGTTAAAAAGACTTGTATGAATCGAAAGAAGTAGTTTTTAATTAGGCGATTTTTTTAAATACTTAAAAATATCGAACTAAGGATTTCCACTGAATTTTTATCTAAAAATAGAATCTCTACTACGAAAATGTTAGAAATATTGCAGGAAAGAATAAAATGTCAAGAGCAAACATGTTTGACTGATATAAGTCGTTTAAAGAGGGTAAAGAGTTGATGATAAACGACCCAGAAGGCCATCTACCGCGAAAGCGGAAGACAATATCAATAAATCAAAAATTTAACGCTGGATAATCGTCAAAGTTATCACTAAACTCACTGAATTATCATTTGTTTCGATTGATTTTGAAAGAATTTTCGTAACAAATCGTGTTGAATCTTTTATCATAAACACTGAATTTTTACGAAAAGGTATGAAAAAGAAATGATTACAAAAAATGCGCATTAGGACGCATCATTACCGATGACACATGAATTTATGCAAATGACGTTGAAACTTTAGCAATCGAGTGAATATTTTTTTAAAAGTGCGGCAAACCCGAAAATAGCTGTATTTTTTATGTAAAAGTAACAATATTAGAAAGAATAAATGATAAAAAAGACTGTTGCTCGCATTCACTACAAATGATCAAATATCCACAAAAGAATTGTCAAATGCTGAAATATCTAAACAAAATTAATAAAAACTTTCGTTAATATTAAACAAGAATATAATTTTTATTAAATAAATAACGTAACATAAATACTTGAAATTTGTCGAGTAATAAAATAATTCATGTTCACATTAATTCGTACAATATCACATTTCACAATATCACCAATACGTACATTAATAATACGATTGTGTCAATGTCGAGCCGATGTTGCTTCTGTGCTGTGCCGTTAAGTGAGCCATAATATTTATTCGTATCGTGTTGTTTAAGTGTTGTGTTTCGAAAATAACGAGTGTGTAGTCTGTAACGAGATAGGTAATAAGATCAGGACAAAATAATTGGTGCTATTAGTTATCGAAAAGTTATCGATATTTTATACTTGTTACAGAATACAAAATCGATCGATTGGTAAATAGACTTTACCGACAGGAATTCGAGTGAGTTTATACACTTTTTTTGCGTTTGTCTACGATCGTAAACGACCACTTCTCAGTTCCAAACCGCCTCTCGATGCGTTAAAATCAAAATTTATTTATAAAATAAATTGATCAATTTAAATTCGTTTTAGTGTTTCTTATTTTTAATCCAACAATGCTTTTTTAGTCTAACAATGCTTAATAGTATTTCGATAATATCGTTAAGGTTGATAATAGTGAATTTGAATCTAACCTGTCATTCTGTTATTTATCATTAAAACCAAAGCGGTCATATTACCACTTTACAAATTTTTTATTTTAAGTTCCAAAATTTTTTTAAAGTGATTTTTTTGAAATGTGTGTTGATCTTCACGAAGATAAAGAATTAATGTGTATATTAATTTATGTTTTATCGTTTATTTATTCATGTTTCAACTTCATTTTTCAAGTGAGTTGAATTGAATGAAAATGAATTTGATGAGTTTCAAAGTGAGTATGGATTATACGCCGGTAGGTTTAGTGTTAAATCTGTTTATCCTTGTTCAAAATTGAAACTGTTTTGTTGTATGGAAGAAATATATCAAAGACGTCCCTATATTTCTTAATAAAAGAAGAAAGAGGGTAATTTGAGATTTGTACTCACTTGAACATGTATGGGGGTTTACACGGATTGCTATGGGGTTATACATACTATGTATAGCTATGTATACACTATGTATATACGAGATACTATGGGATACTATACTATAACGAATACTCATTAACCTCCCCATGCTGCGTATACCGGCAATTACATTAGATTTCCCTAGAGAAAATTGCAATATAGGGGGAGCATATCGCATTACTCATTCTAATATACCCACTGCTGACAGAATTATGAATATTTGCAGAGTAAACGATGTCAATTTATAGTCTTTCAACTTTATAAATCTATTATATGTAATAAGTGTTTACAAACCTAACATTATTTCACATACATAAAAACAAGATAACGTGAAGAATTAAACATACATATTTCCGAAAATACATTTATAGTTTATAGTTGTTTATAACTGCATTTATAGTTGTTTCTTGTGCTCAGTTGTATATAAAACGCCATCTTTAACATATCGAATGTTGTACAGTATTTAAGACGTGCAATAAATATTTGAATATAGGTTAGAAAACGAAATTGTAACTCTTAATTATACTAATCATTGTATATTTATTATATTAACATTCAAATCTTTATTTTTATTTTATTTCATTTTATCCTTTGTGATATTATCCTTCTGATACTTTTTATGTTATAACAATTATTATTATTTGAGCCAATGATCATAGCAGTCGAGGCCTTTATAAAATCAATCAATCAATTATTATTATTATAAATAAATTATAACAAAAAATGATAAATAATAATAAAATTATTATATGATCTTTTTGAATAAAATTGTGATAAATTTATATTTTTTATCGTTTTGCCGTACGAGTGATCAGTACATACATATCTTATCAAGAATCACTTTATTACAGAGAACAGTGTCCGTGATGATTATCAGCCAGTGCTCTTTTATCTATCGTCCGACCTATTGGTTTAGCAGTTTAACTAAATCCCATTTATACCAAATCCATTTATCGTATTACCTATTTCAGTCTTTGACTATTTCGGGTGTAACGTATAAACGTGAAACTGATCCCACGCGGACTATATTTTACTTTAGTACTAAAAAGAAAAAAGATTTTATATCTGCACATTCTTTGCAACTGTGTAAAAATTCAACGTTAACAAAGTGTTTGGTAATAAGTGCTATATTTTTACGTGTCGAGAAATACAATATTGACGAAAAACATGACATCTCAAAAATATAAAGTAAATTGCGAGTCAGATGGCAAAACCAACGCGCGATCAAGCAGACGCAGAAAAATGGTACTATCATTAACTTGTGAGATAAATTGACATTTTCAGATATAGGGTATATATAAAGTTTATCCTTTTTTTTTAGTAGGATTTCAAGGGTAAAGTTAAAGTATAGTATTAACCTTTATTAAGAACACTGGGATGTTTAAGACCCATACATTAAAAATTTTTCTTGCAAACAAGCTACTCATTACTTTAACTTAAAAAAAAATTATAAATAGTCTTTGAAAGTTGTTTAAACATATTACGTATTATTTAATCGGTTTTCTACAAAATTCATTTAAGTAGGTTAATAATTTAACGAAGTAGTACGTATATCAACAAACTTTTTATTTAAATAATTTATTGAGAAATAGTGAAGCAAATTTTTAGGTTTTAAAATTTGGGGATTTTGAGATTTAGAAATTTAGAAATTTAGAAAATCGAAATGGGAAATTCGAGATTTGAAGATGTGGAGATATGGAAATTTAGGGATATGGAGATTTAGAGATTTGGGGATTTTGAAATTTGGTAATGTAATAATTTGAATATTTCAACATTGAACATTTTTCTTTTTTTTTTTTCGATAAAAATTTGTTAGAAATATGGAAATTTGAGAATTTAAGTATTTGCGAATTTAAGAAATTGAGAATTTGGAAATTTGCGAATTTGAGAAATTGAAAATTTGGGAATTTAGGAATTTGAGAATTTGAGAAATTGGAAATTTGGGAATTTGAGAATTTGAAAATTTCAGAATTTGGAAATTTGGGAATTTGAGAAATTGGAAATTTGAGAATTTGGGAATTTGGAAATTTGAGAAATTGAGAATTTGAAAATTTAGAAATACGAAAATTTTAAATTTATATTTTAAAATGCCAAATTAAAATTCCACGCACTGTCGCAAGCATAAAATAACACACATATCCCACAAAATTTATATCGCCCGCGTTTTTTGTATATACTAAAATTCAAGAGATATTTGATTATTTATTGATACAATTCGAACAACTAATATTTTGGCAAAATATACGTAAAGTTTACAATTTATACATGAATTTAATTGTTAACTTACTATAATCCTTGAATACGTTAAAAAAATCAACATTTGTTTTTTTACAGTTTCGAAATTCTGTCAGTGGTCCATTATCCAGGCTATCGAGTACACCAAGGATTGGTGTCAGAACGTACAAGGATCAAAGTTGCAAAATGTCGAAACCCGGGAAGAAGGAGTGCCAGGATAATCGAAAGAACAGGAGAAAAGAGTGCGCAAGTCAAGGACAAAGGACTTGTGCAAGAATAGGAAATTGTCTCGTACGTGTTCTCGCCTGTATTTTCGATTGAACGTTGAAGAGCTACGAAAGAAAACATCGAAGAAATCTACACATTGAATCTCCCACCGAAAATGAACATTTCTCTAACAGTTTGCTGAATCTACAATACCGTTACACCCAAAAGCTTTATGTTTATTTATGAAACGAAGCGGCTCACGGTTAAATCCAGGATAATTGTCTATTAAATATTAAAACGCATGGAGTGTTATTCAGAATTCGTGTTATAGAACTGCTTTGGTTTTCGTGTCGTTCCTTTTGTGTTATTTTTATCAGCAATCGACGCTTTGCAGCAGAAAAGCTGAAAGAGGCTGAAATTTTATTGTACTTTTTTTCGCTACCTCCACGAGCTTTCAGATAAAATGTTCCTCCTTATGAAATATTTCTTAAGAGAGACGAAAGGCTTTTAGACGATTGAAATGGTTTTATGCTCTACGAAAATAATTGTGTCGCTTTTATTGCATCCGATTATTCCTGTAAGTAGAGTAGTATCGTGTTTTTATAATCGATACATTTTCAATATTTTCGCGATGAAGCCAAAGAAATTTACTTAGAACCATTGAGCACGATAAAAATATTTTTATAATTGCGTTTTTAATGTCGATAGATTTTTTAGAAATTTCGGAAAGTCCGTTTTAAAATATGTGTATTATTTATGAGGCCAAATGCGTTGAAAATCGACTTGAAATTAGGCTACCTTCGTTGTTCAAAATTTTAACCTTTGCGTATAAGTCCCACGAAAATGTTCATAGCGTTTATCTTATGTAACGATCGAAGACTGAAAATTCCAAACACGAATTCTCCGTACGGAGGATAGTTAATATATTTGGAATTTGCAGTTTTCCATTGCCACTATTAACGTTAATTGAGGCATACTCGCTACGTTTGTTGTGTTCATAGTTGCTGTTCAGAGTATAATAGCGTTTAAATTTATGAGTTATAGAGTGAAACCATGGCTGGTCCGTGTGAATGTGAGATGTACAACACAGACTTGATTTTTTACGAAACTTTTCTATCGCTATTCAGTACTTTATGCGAAACCTTTGAAAATGGTCACAAATTGCTATTTGTGATCCGAACACTTTCACGTATCTTTGATGGCACGTTTTTTAAGATTTTCTAGTTCTTTCGCGTAACGAATCATACGAATCATTGCATGACTCCAAATGATTTTCCTTTTCTTAATGAAAAATTTAGATAATTCAAAAGAAAAGTCAATTTGGAGATGGCATGTTTTAACGTGTTCGATTTAGATTTATACATTCAGGAAGCCTAGAAATAAAAGTAAAACGAATCAGTTTTATTTCATTCTATAATATAATTAATATTTTACAAACATTGATTCATTTTTCAATCATTTTTATTTATTCTAGTTTTAGGAAGATTAGTCATTTCTTAGCCATTAAAAATACAAGAAAATTGCTTTACAGTAAATTACAATTATTAATAAATAATAAATTGCAATCAAATTATTTCATCATAATTTTAGAATTTTTCAAAATCAGCTTTTACAATGGAATTAAATATATTTAATTCATTACATCCATTTTTTAGTACATCCATTTATTGTTTCAAATCTATTTTTTTTTAATGTGATGTGATGACTTCAATGTATAATTAATTTAATCACAATATGCATTTTCAAGTAAAACATAAAATACCTTTAACAAATAACAGTAGAGAAATGATTTTTTCTGGAATTTATTCCTTCTTTTTTAAAGTAGTTTTAGGGAAATCTTTTTCTCGTCTTTCAAAATATCAGAAAAAACATTTTGGTATTGAAAAAAGAAAAAACATGTTTTCTTATCATAGATTTAAAAATCATGATTCTAAATATTATTTTATATTGTAAAGAATATTGTGATTCCATAAAAATGCTGAAATATGACTACAAAATACTTCTGTACAATATTTTAAAATTTGTCACATTTTTTGATTGACAAATAGGACAATGTTTTTGTATACGACTGTTTCAAAAGTAATGAGACTATACATTGTATATGTAAAAGATTTTCTGTGTACAATTTTAAACATCAAAAGAACATTAGAAGTTCTTTAACTTTGATCGGTCACAAACACTTCAATAATTATGTGAAAATGATAACGTTTGAGATAATTTTTAGTTTTAGGAAATAAAACAAAAATTGTAGGACTAAGATTTAGTATAAAGCAATCAAAGAATGTTATTATATTTTGCAATTAACTATTCATTAATATTTTCTATAGTAATTAAATTAATTAACACATTTATAATTTCAATCATTTTAAAAAAATCAGTAATTTTATTGCATTGTATCAAAGATCGCAATTTGAGTAGTAGTCTCATTATTTTTTAAACAAATCATATATTTTTAACAATGAACGTATAAATTTAAACGAAATACGGCATAAAATGTTAACATCGAATTATACTAACACGATTGTATGAAAAGTCGCACTGACGTGTGGAAACGACGACCATCGTTTTTACGTAAATATTCCTAACCTTTTAACTTGCATCTCGCGCGAAATAATATGGTGAATAGCCATGTAAGCATGTGCTGTCGTTACTATTTATATGTTAAACATTAAAACATGTTGCTATTTGATCAGTTAAATTTTATTCGTCGTGACGTTGTGCTCTAATTGCGTTAAGTTCGAATGTTACCTTAACGAACGTCACTAAGTCTATTCTGTGTTGATAGTTATTTATAAATTGACAGATTATTGTAACGTGATTATCTATTAGAATTGGTTAATTACATACCGATTAAAAGTAAGAGAATTCATTTTAAAATATAACGCGATCAATTGAAACAGCTTCTTTGTACATGCGTGTTGTAAATCTGTTTTGTATTTTTCATAACAGACTACTTACTGTTTCTGTAATAAACCAAAAAGTATTAAAAACAGGAAATGAAGCTTACAAATATAACTAGGTCTGTTTGATTTTAGTAAATTTCACGTTAAAGCAAAAATAATCAACCGTGTCATCCGCACTCTTCATTAGCTGTTACTTATGCAGCTGGCTTATTCGTCAGGTTAAAATTCATGCTGGTAACAAATATTCCAAGCGCGAGTAAATTCAATTTTTACATTGAAGTCTATGAAGATCAGTTTTTTCAGTGATTATTCCTCCGTGGCAAGTCTGATTTAAAAAATTCTTTTTTTATGTCCATGTGGATGTACATACGCATGTGCGTGCAAAATTTGATGAGAATTGGTTGAGTGGTGCAAAAGAAAAGCGCGGACAAAGAAGTTGCAAAGTCAAGTAGAAGAGCTTCGCTCGCTCGCTCAATAATAAATTGTGCATAAAACATTCGTTGGTGTTGAATTATACATATTTGTAATTCAATCCCTTTTCATACCTTGAAATTAAAAATAATAGAAATAGTGTGAAAATTATAAGAAGTAGATAAATAATTTCAACTATTTTACTGATTTTAAATCATTTTTAACATTAATCGTTTATAACAAAATTACACTGATAAAATAACAGAATGTATGTAATATCTGCTGCAATATTTTCAAGTTAGAAAAATCCTTCATTAGTGATCTTAAAATTTTACATTTGACAATTTCAAAAATTGTATTTTATGGACCTCAAAATACTTAACCTAACCATCTAGCGGTAAAAAGTGAGAACTAACAAAAACAAATTGAATTTGATTGCTTTATAAAATATTAACTGTCTCTATTTATTAGACACTAAAATACTTAAAGTAGCAATATTAAGAAACTTTATAGTGTTTTATATATATTAGTTAGTCGAGAACAATAAGTAAAGATCAAAATCGTTTTCAAAATTTAGTTCAATTAGTTTTACCTTTTACCGGTAAATGGTTAAACATTTTTTGGTCTCACAGAATAAAACATTTTTCAATTTCTTCTCTAACGCTTTTAGCCTGTTATGATGACATTTCTTTAGTTTTAATAAGGTTCTAAAATAATCTACTTATCTGAGAAAAGTGTAAAAATCGCGAATTTGAGAGGATAATGAATTTTCTGCTCTGTTAATTCCGCCGTTCACTGCTAGATAACACTAGTCGTACCATGTTTATGGTGATCGTCAGAATTGTCGGTCAAGAAGAGTTCTATTTTCAAGCCGTCGATCATGAAAAATTTTATTTGTACTTGATATTCAATTTTATTTGCATTCAATTTTATTTTAAAAAGCAAATCGTTCGTTATTCATTCCTTAATCGAATCTGAATTCAAAAGCACATATTTAAAACAAATCCAAAATCAATTTCAATAAATCAGTTATTTTTGAAAAGTTATTATTTATTGACTATTTAAAATATAGGAAAACATACCCTATATTTATTGGTGACCCCGCCGTGATCAAATTTGCAACGAGAAATTATAATTATTATCAGAAATTATCAAAATGTTTCATACTCCGGAACCAGAACGTAACAGACCTCAAATAAATATCGAAGAGCCACAAAATCAACCAGCCAACAATAATATGCAACAAAATTTTAATACAAATATCCAAGATTCCATTGAAACAGCACGCTTAGTCAAACTGCCCCCTTTCTGGAAAGAAAATCCTGTCCTATGGTTCAAACAAGTTGAAGCGGCATTTTCTGTTGCAAGAATCACCAGCGATGATTCAACGTTTCGATACGTCATTTTAAATTTGGAGCAAACAATACTTCCGATCGTGTCAGATATTTTAGAAACGCCGCCAGATTTTGGAAAATATGAAGCGTTGAAGAATAGAATAACAGGTGTATTTGCAGAAACCAACGAATCAAAATTGAGGAAACTTTAGCACGGGCATGATATAGGTGATGAGAAGCCTTCAGTTTTTCTGCAAAGAATGAGACGCCTAGCAGCAGATCAGTGCTCAGATACAGTTTTACGCAGTTTGTTTTTAGAACAGATGCCGTTGAATATAAGAACAATATTAGTTATTTCCGAAACATCTAATTTAGCATTACAAGCAGATAAAATAATAGAAATGACGCGAGGAAACAATATTTCGTCAGTCGATTCTACAGATTCCTTTTCTAATTCAGACGACAGAGATTCGTTAGCAAAACAGGTTTCTGAATTGAGAAGTTTAGTTGAAACTCTTTCTGTCGATATACAGTAAAGACTGGATAATTGCGACAAACGATGGACTGGATAACTGCAACGTTACTATACCCACCATTTAGGGGGTTCCCCCTTGAATCTTGACACTTGACGAGCGAGCAGCGTATATAATGTAATTCGAACCGGCGTATCGGTGAGACAATGCTAATGTAACAGTAAAACCTTTTTATTTTTTAATTGTTTCTAATGAAATTTTTGTAACGAATTTGCGAGATTTTTCTGATTAAAATGAGACCAAACATGATATAGTTTGAATTATATTTACTTGTTGCTAAGGATTAAATAAGTGCCACTAATTACAAAAACGTGTTGTGCTCATTAAAATAATAATAGAATATTAATTTAAAATAATAATATACATTATAATAAATATAGTCATATATTGCAAAAGATATAATAAAATATTAAAATAAATAATAATATTTATAGGATAGAATCATACATAGAAATATATATACATAGAATTATTTCAAATAATTAGTGTACAGTAAAGATTTTAATGGAAAATGATTACAATAAGCGTTGAATTACTTCATTGGGAAAATAATTTCAAATAATTAATTTTCTGTGTATCTGCTAATCTTCTCGCATCTTCTAAGTGGAGGTCAGTAATTTATCTTTTTCCTTTTATGTATTAGGGCCTAAAAAAGAGGAATTAATTATTAAAATGAAAATTATATTTATAATTTCTATAAAATGATATAATTTTATTTATAATTAATATTAAAATTACCTAAAAAATGATTCTCGAACACCTGAAATATATTTTTGACGAAAGGTGGTTCGTCAGATACGTGGTCCTGCAGCCGTTGAAATAAATATTTTAATTCGTTCATTTTATTCTCTTGTTGTTCTGTTTCTTCCGCATTTTCATCTTCGTCTGTGCTTTCATCTTCGTCACTTTCATCTTTGGATCTTTTTGATTCCTCTTCTTCACAGTCTGTTATAAAATGTGCAACATCTTCTTCCGTGAACGTTTCTCCCGTTATGGTACTTAAGTCTCTCTGCATGGAAGAATGGTATAAATCCATTTCACTTGGAATGATTTTCTTCCATGCATTGAAAATATTTTCCGGCGATACTTCCATCCAAGACTGGTGCAATGTTTCTATGCAATGTTTTAATGTGTATTGTTTCTGAAAAACATTTATTCCGCCTACGTATTGTGTCGCTTGTCGAAGGGATTTCTGACGATACACTATTTTTAATTTCGCTATTATCCCTTGATTCATTGGTTGTATTAGACTGGTTGTATTTGGTGGGAGGTATATAATTTGAAAATGTCCATCATCCAATAATTCGGATGCTACTGTATATCCTCTGCAATTATCAACCAACAAAATCACTTTGCCAATCAATGAATTTCTCAGTTGGTATGTTCGTACACTTGGCTTGAAATGATTTTGATACCAATCTATAAACAATGTCTGGGTCATCCAAGCGTTCTTCTGTGATTTAAAAACTACGGGCAGACTGTTTTTACAATGCTCCAATGCTCTAGGATTTTCATATTTATTAATAATAAGCGGCATTAACTTGTGCGTCCCGGATGCATTTGCACATAAACCTACCGTAATACGCTCTTTACGGCTTTTGAAATCTTGTATATTCTTTTCTCTTCTGTCCGCTAATGTTTTCGGCGGTAAGGCTTTCCAGAGAAGTCCAGTCTCGTCCATATTATAAATATTTTCCATATTTATATTATCTTCTTCTAACAATTTTGTGAAATCTTCGGTGAATTTTGTCGCCGCATCCTCATCGGCACTCGTGCTTTCTCCATACACCTGAACTAGGCGTATGTTGTGTCGTTTTTTGAAACCTGTTAACCATCCTTTGCTGACTTTAAATGTCGATGGTAATCCCATGTTGTTCTTTAGTTCAACTGCTTTCTCCAAAAGCGCAGCATTCGATATAAAGTCGCCAAGGGTTCTCCTCTCTGTGAACCATGTCAGCAAATTTTGCTCTAATGCACTGTGTGCAGATGCACGTATCCTTCGGCGTTTCCGTTGCACCTTGCTTTTGTCGACAAATTGCATAATTTTTGGAGCATTATTCTTGATCCTACAAATTGTTGATTTATGGACATTGAATTTTCTAGCAACACTAGAAATACTAAATGTTTTTAATTCATTCAACACTTTCAAACGGTCCTCCATGGTCAGTGTCGTTGTGTTCTTCTTGCTTGCCATACTGAACACTTTAAACAATACTTTGAACAAAAATATATATAAAAATACTTGTCGCGCACGAAAGGATTTCCGTCCAGGTAGGTCTTCGAAGGTCAGGTGAAGTGAGGGGAGACCGTTGGGGAAGTGAGCGGTGAAGTTTCGTGAAAATCGGAGGTGAAATAATGAATTTATAAGTAAAAAACGAAATTTCGGTAATGGCGACTTCCACGCGACGCGAGGGAAAGCATGGGGTGCAAACCCATGAGTAAACGAAAGCGAGGAAACGAGTGTTCAAGCCGACCGCGGAAAAAAATAAATATGTGCGCGACTTAAACACGATTATTTTTATATATGGCGAGTGAAAATAGTGCAATTTAAGGGTGAAATTTGCCCTCGAAGAAGGACTTGCGCGAACGCGTGGTCGTGCGACATGTCGAAGTTGCGAGAGAAAGTCGCAGAAATTAAATAATATTAATAAAGTGAATGTCATTAGGGATTTAGAGTGCGGGGAAAGGGCGAATGAGGCATATTGAATGCACGCGGTGATCAGTTTTGGCTATTTTCGTATCTTCGCGATTTGATAGTAAATAAATAATAGCGTCGGTCGAGCAAACTTCGATATATCGAACGAACACGTGGGCATCTCTGCGCGAGGGAAAGCGTAGAACGTAAAGGCTGGTTCGCAAACATCCAACATGGCGGAGGAAGAATCACCGCAAGCACATGGAGAGCTGCCCTTAAGGACGAAGCCTAAGGGTGAAGCGGAGGCACGCGGCAACAAGCAAGATGGTAGAGACATGGCGCATTTTTCAAATGGCAAGCGGATAGGTTGAAGCAAGAAGACAGTGAGGAGGAGAAGAGGAAGAGGCGAGACGACACGGAACGAAGTGAAGGAAGGAAGTAACTAATTAATAAATAAATAAGGTGAATGAGATTCGAAGTGAATGAGATTAGTAATAATAATATTAATTATTTAATTAATTAATAATTAACTAATAAATTATTTATAAATAGTGAAGTGATTAGTAGATTAATAAATAAATAAATAAGAAACAATTAACAGATAGGCAATTAATTCGGTGTAGTGTTGGGAAAGTGTTATGGGAGTGCAGTGAAGTGCTGTGAGTGTTGCGGGTACAGGGGAATATACGTGACCACGTGCGCGAGTGCAGAGGCAGCAGTGCAAAGCGGGAAAATGGCGGAAAAGTGTCGGAAGGACAGTACGCTCCAGCACCCTGGAAACTCCGAAGTCACAACGACGGTGGAGTAAAGGGGCCGGATCGAGAATATCCAGCATGGCGGATGAAGGAACACTGCAAGCGCTTGGAGAGCGGTCCTAAAGGGTGAAGCGAAAGGATGCGGCAGCAAGTAAGACGGCGGAGACATGGCGCGCTTTTCAAACGACAAGAGGAGGGGAAGAAGCGAGAAGATAGTGTTACGTTCCGAACAGGAATATTTTTCAAAATTTTCTTTGTAGTTCTCACCGACCGGATAAGGGGAAGAAGCGAGAAGACAGCGAGAGAAAGAAGAAGAAGAGCAGGAGTGGAAGAGACGGAGAAACAAAACATATACACGACCGATCAAACGACTCAAACCTGCAAGGGAGGAAACCGATGTCAGCCTGGTCATAGCACCATTAGGGGGCACAAAACGGGGACCGACAGAGCGGGGGAGAGGCAACGGGGACCGACGGAGCGGGGGAGAGAAGGGAGAAAGGTCAACTGTGTCAACTACCCTTCTGATCAATTGTCGGTTTAACAAGGGACCCAGTCGTTAGCCTGGTCATGGCACCATTAGGGGGCGACAATAGGGATCGAGCGGGATCGGCAGAAGAGAGGAAGGAGAAACTGCAGCGTTCGGGGAAATAGAGGCTGAAGTAGAAGGTTAGGGGCGATATTAGTTAAGGGAGGAGAAACTACATCGTTCGGGGAAATAGAGACTGAAGTAAAAGGTTAGGGGCCATATTAGGGCCATATTAGTAAAACATAGAGACGCGAATAGTTGCGTAAAGCAACGGGAAGTTTTTAATTTTTGAGGGGGGGAATTAGGCGCGATATCGAGCATTAGCAATTTAGTAGGTGTGATGTGGTGGGGAGAGGTCGCGGTTTTAGGACCGTATGTTCGGACGCAGTGGAAGGCGGCAGCGGGTGGCGTTACAGGATGAAGTTGGAAGCTGGAACGCTTCCACGAGGAACTTGACGAAACCACTTGGGCCAAGAGCCACCGCGTAGTGCCTAGTACGAGTGGAACATATCCAAGGTATTTACAGCACTTACGAAGCAAAGAGTGGCTTTTGCCTATTATGCGACTCGTTTTTACTATAACTAATCTAAAAGAATGTGGGATCGTGGTGGCGTGTTGTTAAAGAGTGAAATCTACAGGTTGATACCTTTCATTAATTAGGTTTATTCAAGTAATGATGAGGAAGAGAGTTATAATTAACAATGTCTTTAGCAAATATAAAAATATATGTACGACTGAATTCTATTAGCAAGATGGAGTATACTAGACTTGTAGATATCGCAAATCGCAAGACGGTAGCTAACTACTTCAGTTACGCGGTTTTATAATGATGTACGCAACGCAAGAAAATAACGTAATTTTATAATGGATCTAGATCCTAACAAAACTAACAGAACAATATTTGATTAATTACAAAAACTCTAAAATTTGTATTGGAACAGTTACTTCTTGTTTGACTCTAAACTAATGAGGTTCATGGCTCTTTTTGTCCGAGCACAAATCGGCACCCAAAATCTGATCGCTTAATTAGTTCGCTACTAAACTACCCAGAGCAAACTCCGAGAATCTGACGGCGAGTTAGTAACTCAGAAAAATAAGAAATATGTGTGAGTGACTGGAAAGCTCTTGTTTGATGTCTTAGTCCTTTCTGGGGCTGAGCATAGCACTCTCCTTTCGCAGTTTCAGAGACAAGACCGTTTGAACGGGGAGCCTGCGTTAGCTGGCTACTAGAACTACCCAACAATCGAGTATCCAAATGGCTGATACCCGCTGTCCAGTCAAAACTAAGAATCTTGTAGTCTCTTACCAGTTAAAACTGCTCCAGTTCGTCGCTTCCTAAGAGATCCGGCACGTAGTACTTCCAAGATTGTTCTGCGCTCGCAGCCGCTGCTGCACGCCCTTTTATACCCAGAGATTCATGGGTTTTTCCCGCTCAAAAGTAGTTATTATTTTAGTTATTGTTTTATTACGCTTTATTTAGTAGCAAATATATATTAGTTTAATTAATAAAAATACGCTTTGATTTATTATTAATTAGTTTTTCACGAGTTTTCCCGTTAAATCGCAGTTTTAATAATTTTTAAATACGCGAATTATAAGTGTTTCAATAGAAGAAATAATTAATTACAAACAATACATAAAATAATACCTAAAAATATAACGCAATTTATAATAGGTTAATAATTAATAATATATATAATATAAATATTTAAATAATAATTTATAATAACTTCGTTTCGAAGTATATCTGCTGTCTCTTTCTAACTAACGCGCGCGCCATCGATCGGTGATCTAAGTAGATGGTGACTAGTCAGCAGACCCCTTCCGCTGTGGGTGTGTTTGCATCAAGGACATACATGGTGTGTTCCGAAAGTAATGCGAACGAAATTCCTGCGCCGCTCCTGTTGGTCGGAGGGGGATGGGACCACATGGGTTAGGTGCGGGGGACCCTAAGCTTTCCAACGAACCCGGTCCCAGGGCTCTCCGAGCTGTGAAAGGGACAGGACATGAATTTTTGTGACCCCCTGTTTGGTGACCGTGTCACGGAAAAAGTGGCGTCAACGGTCGGAACAACGATACGCGATAAAGCTTTTGTGCTAAACTAAACAAATCTCTTGAGGAGACAAATAAAATGATTCATGAGGCTTATGGGGACTCTGTTCTGTGGTATTCACAAGTTTCGAGGTGGTTAAAGACCTTTAAGGAAGGGCGGGAAGAGGTTCGCGACGATCAACGCTCCGGGCGGCCACAAACCAGCAAAACAGTCCGTCAAACAGTCCATAAAGAATTTCTTCCTGAAGGACAGACAGTTAACACCGCCTACTAGGTGAATATGCTGGAAAGAAAAAGGGTCGCCAGGACGAGAAAACACATCTCCGGTACCTGGATACTGCATCACGACAACGCGCTTTGCCACAACGCGCTGCGAGTACGTGAGTTTCTGACCCAAAACTAGATGTTGACGCTGCCCCAACCTCCTATAGTCCTGACCTGGCATCGATAGACTTTTTTTTGTTCCCTCGGATCAAGACACCCCTAAAATGAACTCGTTTTTCGTCGATACAAGACATCCAAGCGGCCGTGTCCGACCTCCTAAAAGAGGTTCCGGAAAACGCATTCCAGGATGCGTACCGTTCATGGCAGAGTAGCTGGCAAAAATATGTAGAAGCCCAAGGGCAGTACTTTGAAGAATTTTGAGTATTTGTAAGAATTGGTTCAATAAATTCCTTTAAAAAAAATCATTCGCATTACTTTCGGAACACACCATTGGACTGGTACTTAATCTTGCAGTTTTCTGGAGCTTTTTGAAATCTGCTTATAATAATACGTAATTTATATTTGAAATAAGTTCATTTGAACAATTCTTCAATGTGCAATTAAAACTGCAGGTAATTGTTACGAAACAAATTTTGAAGATTTAAATGAAAGTGATAATTGTATAAAATAATTGCGAGAGAAAAAATAAAGATTTGAACAACTAAATTTGCTCGAAATTAATCATTTCTAAATCTGCTTGGAATCAATAATTATTTTAATAATTGTCACAAGGTTTTAATCTTTAATTGCAAATACTAGTATGGAAATTTCAAATTTACACACTTTAAAACTTAAAGATTGAAAAATTTCATATTCCTTAATTTCTAATCGTTTTTTCTTCATTTTAATTTTCTTCACATGCAGATTTTAAGTCCACAAATTTTTAAATTTAAAAATTGAGGAATTTCGAATTTGTCAATTTAAAAGTTCACGAATTTCAAGCTAGGAATATGAATATGTAGATTCAGTAGTTACAGATTTTCAAATATCCACATTTATCAATTTAGAAATTTACAAATTAAAAGTCTTCCATTTTACATATCCCTAAATTCGCAAATTTCGAAAACTCGTAATTTTCAACGCGCATTTCATTATAAACATTTAATTAAAAATGAATTCGTTATTGTATTCGTAATATTTACTTTTGTTGTGCATGTACAGATCTTATGCTTGAATAAT